GTTTTTACAATAGAGGTCTCATACAATATTTGTCCTTTTGTGATTGACTTATTTCACTCAGCATAATGTCCTCCAGTTTCATCCATGTTATGTGAATGTAGTTTTTATGCCAAGTTACAAACCTGTTACTTGTGAGGTTCCTTGACATTGCTAAGTTGGGTCCAGTAATTGCCAACTGGGATCCTCACAGCCAGCTCTGACACCCTAAGGCCCTAGAGGAGGATTCAATCTTACAGATTCTCGTCTTTGGTAGGATTCAGAAGCTGTGCTCCTGGACCTACAGTCAGTATGTGAGACCCCAAAACAACCCAGACCTTTTCTATAGTTCATTCCTCTGTCAAATGTTATTAAGAACTGTCAAGTTCATGGAAGAATAATGTCAGAGAGCTGGCTTTAAAGAGCTCACAGTCTTTGTGTGTGTTTGGGGACGGGCGGGAATAAGGCAAATGCTAAACTTATATTTTAGAGTGACAGAAGTTATAACTGAGGGAAGGGAAGGGGAGGGTACCAAGGAGGGCTTCACAGAGAAGGTGATATTTGGGCTGACCCCTGAACGATGCAAGGGATTTTTGTAGAAGGAAAGAGAGAGAGAAAGTATACCAGAGACAAAAAGCAGCATAAGCAAAGCATGAAAATGTGTGAAAGCTTGCTTTATTTTATGAATAGTTTGAATTAGCTGCAGTTTATTTTATATAAAGTGCACAAATTTTAAGTGTACATTGTCAGGAAATTTTGCACATGTACCCTGGTGGCGCAACAGTCAAGCACTCTGCTGCTAATTGAAAGACTGGTGGTTCAAACCCACCCAGCGGCTCATACCACCAAGAAAGTAGAGCCAGGAGCACGTGTCCTTTGGACCCGGGGTACCTGCGCCAAGAAGCTCCTAGAGCAAGGGAAGACTGATGAAAAGGACCTTTCCCCAGAGCCAACAGAAAGCGAAAGGCTTCCCCTGGACCTGGAGATCTGCTTCTTGAAGATTAAACCAAACCAAACCAAACCTATTATCGTCAAGTTGATCCCAATTCACAGCAACCCCCTATAGGACAGGGTAGAACTGCCCGATAGGGTTTCAGAGGCTGTGATCTTTTTTTTTAAATTGTGCTTTAAGTGAAAGTTTACAGTTCAAGTTAGTCTCTCATACAAAAATTTATACATACATTGTTATGTGACCCTAGTTGCTCTCCCTATAATGTGACAGCACACTCTTCCTTTCCAGCCAGGATTTCCCTTTTCCATTCAACCAGCTCCTGACCCTCTCTGCCTTCTTCTCATCTCATCTCCAGACAGGAGCTGCCCATTTAGTCTCATGTATCTACTTGAGCTAAGAAGTACTCTCTTCCTGAGTATCATTTTGTGTCCTATACAGTCTAGCCTAATCTATGTCTGAAGAGTTGGCTTTGGGAATGCTTTCAGTTCTGAGCTAACAGAGAGTCCGTGGGCCATGTCTTCCGGGGTCCCTCCAGTCTCAGACCATTAAGTCTGGTCTTTTTACTAGAATTTGAGTTCTACACTCCACTTTTCTCCTGCTCTGTCAGGGACTCTCTGTTGTATTCCCTGTCAGGGCGGTCATTGGTGGTAGCCCGGCACCATCTAGTTCTTCTGGTCTCAGGCTGATGGAGTCTCTGGTTTATGTGGGCCTTTCTGTCTCTTGGGCTAATATTTTCCTTGTGTCTTTGGTGTTCTTCTTTCTCCTTTGCTCCAGGTGGGTTGGGACAAATTGATGCATCTTAGATGGCTGCTCGCTAGCTTTTAAGACCCCAGATGCGACTCACCAAAATGGGATGCAGAACGTTTTCTTAATAAACTTTGTTATGCTGAGGCTGTAATCTTTATAGAAGCAGACTGCCACATCTTTCTCCTGAGGAATGGCTGGTGGGTTCAAACCACTGACCTTCCGGTTAGCAGCCAAATAATTAACCACTGTGCCACCAGGGCTCCTTCCCGTAAAGATTACGGCCTAGAAAATCCTATGGGGCAGTTCTGCTCTGTCATATGGGGTCACAAGTTGAAATCAACTCAATGGCACCTAGCAACAACATCTACCCATGTAACTGCCACCCAGATCAAGACATAGAACATTTCCAATGCCCAGGCAATCTTCCTTGTGCCCCTCTCAATCCAAATCCTTTCCCCAGGTAACTGCTACTATGACATCAAGCCCCATAGATTAGTTTGTCATTGCCCTTTGTTGAAATGGAACCATACTGTATATACTCTTTGTGTCTTGCCTTTTATACTCATATTATGTCTGTGTTGTCTGTATGTTTTGCCAGTATCAATAGTTAATTCCTTTTTGTTGATGTGTAGTATTCCATTGCATGAATATGCCACAAGTTGCTTATATCTAGTCTAAGTTGTTTTCAGTTTTGTCTGTTATAACTGATGCTGCTATAAACTTCTTGTACATTAGAACTCATTTCCCTTTAAAAGATACCATACAGCTGTAGTTTAGAGTAGTGATTCTTAACCAGGAGTGCTTTCTTCCCTTAGGGAACATTTGGCAATGTCTAATGACATTTTTGATTTACAACTAGGGTGGGAAGGAGTGCTAGTGGCATTTACTGGGTAGATACCAGGGGTGCTGCCAAACATCCTACCAAGTACAGGACAGCCCCCCAACAACACAGAATTATCCAGTTCAAAATGTCAGCAGGAGCCAAAGAACTAGGCTGGAGCCAGATTTTGGAGGTCCTTGTATGCCATCCACCACCAGTCTGTCAGTCTGTTGTACTGTGGTGGCTTGTGTGTTGCTGTGATACTGGAAGCTACGCGACCAGTATTTCAAATACCAGCAGGGGCACCCCTGGTGGACAGGTTTCAGTGGAGCTTCCAGACTAAAGCAGACTATGAAGAAAGACCTGGTGATCTACTTCCAAAAATTAGCCAGTGAAAACCTTATGGATCACAACAGAACATTGTCCAATTTGCTTGCTTTGGACATGTCATCAGGAGGGATCAATCGCTAGAGGAGGACATCATGTTTGGTGAAATAGAAGGCCAAAGAGGGCATGGGAGACCCTTGCTGAGATGGACTGGGACAATAGCTGCAACAATGGACTCGAATATGCTGGCAATTGTGAGGATGACGCAGGACCAGGTAATATTTTCTTCTGTTATACATAAGGTCGCCATGAGTTGGAGTCAACAAAACAGCAGCTAACAACAATTATATGCCATACTGAGATTTATGCCCAGTAGGCTTTGGGGAGCCATCAGTGGCTCTGTAATAGTGAGATTTCCATCAGTGGGGCAAATTTGAGGCCAGACATCACCTGGTATATGGCATCAGGTGAGAATGGCTTGGTGGATGGCGCCTGGTGTACTCTGGCCAGCCATATGCTGGAGGGCGCCCTGCACGTCCCGGTTATGCAGCGTGTAGATGGCTGGGTAGAGCAGGGGTGTGAGGTTGATGTAGATGAGCGAGACAAGCTTGTCTTCCTCCAGGGAGCAGCTTTGGAGGGGTCTGGCGTACATGGCCATGGCACAGCCATAGTGGAGCACAGCTACCGTGAGATGGGACATGACAGTGTTGAAGGCCTTTCGGTGGCCCGCAGCCCTACCAATGCCCAGGATAACCACCAGCACCCTGGTGTAGGAGAGCAGGATCAGGGCTAGGGGCAGTACCAGCAATAGCAGGCACGCGTCCAGGAGCACATGCTCCTGCAGGTCCCGGTTCCCACAGGCTAGCACCAGCACCGCTGGGAGGTCACAGAAGACATGGTTGACCGGGCCACCATGGCAGAAGGGCAGCCGGAATATGGCAGTGGTGAGGCCTAAGGCTAGGATAGAGCCACCGACACAGCAGGAGGCGAGCAGGCACCAGCAGAGCCCTGAAGTCGTGAACTGAGGGCCGGCAGATTGCCAGGTAGCGGTCCAGGGCCATGGCAGCCAGCAGCGGGCACTCCGAGCCCCCCAGAGCCACAAAGAGACCCATCTGGGCCGCGCAGGTAGAGGCAGCCATGGCCTGGCCCCCAGGAGGCAGGAGGAAGCCAGCCAGCATGCGCGGGGTCAGCACCAGGGTGTAGGCTACCTCGACAGCAGATAGCGAGCCCAGGAAGAAGTACATGGGGGTGTGCAGGGTGGGGTCCACGACACCTAGGCCCAGGATGAGCAGGTTTCCTGTGAGTGTGGCCAGGTAGAAAGGCAGGAGGAGGGCAAACAGCAGCACCCGGAGTCCTTGGGGCCACCCGGAAAAACCCAGGATGACAAACTCCTTCAGGCTTGTCCAGTTCCACTAGGGCCAATGGCTTATATTGCCACCTGGGAGGTAGGGTCGGGGAGAGGAGTGCAGGCTGGAGGGGAAACTCATGGTGATATAGCTCTCCCGAAAATACAGTAAAACTTGTGAAAGTTGGAACCTGTGTGAGGCAGAAACCTGTCAGAGAAGGTATTGTGGATTGAATTGTGTCCCCACAAAATGTGTGTCAACTTGGCTAGGCCATGAGTCCCAGTATTGTGTGGTTGTCCACCATTTTGTGATCTGATGTGATTTTCTTTGTGTTGTAAATTCTACCTCTATGATGTTAATGAGGCAGGACTCAGTCTACAGGATTGGGTTGTATTTTGAGTCAGTCTCTTTTGAAATAGAAAAGAGAGGGGACCTCATGCCACCAAGAAAGAAGTGCTGGGAGCAGAAAGCATCCCTTGGACCCAGGGTCCCTGCACTGAGAAGCTCCTAGACCAGGGGAAGATTGAGGACAGGGACCTTTCCCTAGAACCGACAGAGTGAGAAAGCCTTCCCCTGGAGCTGGACTTCTAGCCTCCTAGCCTGTGAGAGAATAAATTTCTGTTTGTTAAAGTCATTCACTTGTGGTATTTCTGTTATAGCAGCACTAGGTAACTAAGACAGAATTAAAACTCAAATATTTTCCACTAAAATGAGTGACAGAAAAGTGGTAAGACAGCACTCTTCAAAGGTGGAAAACTTGTGAGACCTGGAAAAACAAGGCAGTCCTGTTGAGTTCCAGCTCTCACAGGTTTCACTATATGTGTCTCTTACCTCTCCAGGGCCCAGGAACCCTACGCCCAGCCGCCTTTGTTCTAGTCCTTGCTTCCTACACTCCCGCTCCACCACTCTTCTCAATCCAGTGCTTTCTATCCCTCATTTCCATAGTCCAGTGACTTTGCGGAATCGAAGTGTCCCAACCCATGGTTCACTCTCCCTCTGTCCTCCCAGCCTCATGTGCTTCCAGGCACCCAGGTGTCATCTTCCCAGCCCTGTTCACCCACACGCCACTTCTTTCTGGCATTCTGAGTCCTGCATCACCCCTACCTAAGGACCCAGGCATCCAGTTTCCGAGCCAACAGAGATGAGGACAAGAAGCTGAACACCAGTGGAGGGAGGGATTCCAGTTTCTTCAACCTCTTTATTCATCTGGCTGCTGCTGAGTGATAGAGATGGTGGGTTCTACAGACAAAACCCTGAGGATTAAGGGGTTTGATCGTATTAGAATCCTCTGTTCTCAGAGGCCCATCTTACACCTGCACTCCTGTGAGAGCACTATACTGACAGACCATGGTATCCCTCTTCTCACCTGCCATGGCCTTTGCTTTTGGTTTTATTTATTTTCCCATTTCTTCCCCTCAGCTGGATTCAGATGAACTCCATGGTAATCCTGGACCTGCTGTCTGTCTCTGATCCAGTTATAGGGAAACAACTAGGGGGGAAAAAAAAACAAAGAAAGATGGTCCACCCCTCTCTGTGGTGAATGGCCACTCTTCATGGGTCACAGCACCCACTTTCATGGCTTATGATGCTGAGAGTTCCTATATCTATCTCAGGACCAAACTTCTCCTCTTCGCTTGTTGTTAGGTGCCGTCAAGTCTATTCCAACTCATAACGACCCCATGTGACAAAGTAGAAATGCCCCATAGGGTTTCCTACACTGTAATCTTTACAGGATCAGATCGCCAGGTCTTTCTCCCACAGCACCACTGTTTGGGTTTGAACCACCAACCTTTTGGTTAGGAGCCAAGTGCTTGGACATTGCTTCACCAGGGCTCCTTTCCTGTTAGCTGCCTCCTGAGCATTTCCACCAACATGTCCCACCAGCATTTCCAATTCAACCTGTCCCAAATGAAATTCATTATTTCTAACCCAGCATCTCCCTCCTCCTGTGACTGGAACTAGCCCAGTGTCAAAATTAGAAATCAGGAAGTCATTCTAGATTCATTGCTTCCATGCCCTCAAGTACACTGGGTACCATGTCCTGTTACATATACCTTATACTCCCAGGAGTTCTTGTCCTTTCTCTTATGACAGGCTTTGGCTCTTGTGTTCTCATCCCTGAATGATTCTGACAGATCCTAAATGGTCCTCCAGCCCACTTCCTAATCACTTTTCATAACTACTAACGAGAATGACCTTTCTAAACTACAGCTATCAGTTCTTCGCTTAAATATCCCTTCTTTTTTTTTTTTTTTTCCAATCATCACCACTATTTCTAAAACTTTACGTCACCACAAACATAAACGCAGTACACCTTAGCAATAACTCCCTGTAACTCTCTCTCCCCAGCCCCTGGTAACCTCTAATCTACTTTCTGTCTCTGTGCATTTGCTTATTCTAGATATTTCATGTAAATTGAATTCTACGGTTGTCCTTTTGTGCCTGACTTCTTTCACTTGATGTTTTCGGGTTCATTCTTGTCGTAGCACGTATCAGAACTTCATTTCTCTTTATGGATAAGTAATAAAGATGTGGTATGGATAGAGACTACATTTTGTTTATCCATTCATCTGTTAACCGATGTTTTGGTTGTTTCCATCTTTTGGCTATTGTAAATAGTGCTGCAATGAACACTCATGTACTAGTATTTGTTTGAGTCCCTACTTTCAATTCTTTTAGGTATAAACCCAGGAATAGAAGTGCTGGGTCATATGATATTTCTATGTTTAACTTTTTGAGGAGCTAAATATCCTTCTTTGCCTAAGTCCAAACTCCTTGCATGGAATTCAAGGTCCCTCCCAATATGATTTCCTTCCTCTTTTCCATATTCTTCTCATGCTGTTCTCCATTGTGCACCACATAGTCCAGTTGGAGTGAGTGACTCTCCATTTCTGAATACATCATGTCTTTGCACATGCTACTCCCCTTTCCTGGAATCCCCACATTATCTACCTGGGAAAGTTCTATTCATCCTTCAGGGCTGAACTCACTTGCAGCATTCTGGGTAAAGACTCTTGTCCCCCAGGTGTGTTTGGTGTCAGCCTTTACTTCCACAGTTGTTATGGCAACTCCACTAAACTCAGTTTCCTAGAATCAAAGATCAGAGTCATATTTGTCTCTGTTGTTTATGGAATTATAGTACGTGAAGGGTCAAGCTAATTAATCCTCATTTCTTCCAAATTTGTGCCTCTTCTCAGTATCTCTATCACTGTCCCTAACCTGAGTTTCTGATCTAAAAACTTCAAACAGCCATGGACCTCACTCCTTTTTTTCTGTACTACAATCAGTTGCCTCAACTTCTGTTGGCTTCTCCCCTAAAATGGCCCTTGGCATTTACCATCAATGTACTATCAATCTCAGATGGGGTACATGTAATCATCTTCGGGGTCAATGGTCTTCCTCAAAACTACCAGAATCAGATTCATCTTGCAACCATCCACCAAAGGTCAATTGCCCTCATCTTTTTCTTAACTCATTCAACTAACAGATACATTCCTCTCTGTCTCTTCTTCATACCTTCTAATCCTTAAAACATTACTCCTTTGAAACCTAACTGAAGCTCACCTTACCTAAGAAGCCTTACCTGCCTAGGTCGAATCACTGCTTCAAAGCACTTACATACCATCAATGCCCATCAGACTACTTGATCAGGCTGATGTTGATATTCCATCATGACCTACATAGTTTTCTTGATATTTAGCCAATGGTTCCTCTCCTCACTGGAGGCTGGGAATGCATTGAGGTCATTTTTGTAGAGCATAGACCAACAATCACTGTATCATGAACCATGAAACCCATCTTCAAGCATCTACTGTGTGATGGTGAACTAGTCACAATGTATCAGAGTCTAAGTTTCCTCACCTGTGAAATGAGAGCGTTGGACCAGATGATCGTTGTTTCTTCCAGTTCTAATATTTTATGGTTCTATCAAAAATTGTGTTTGTGTTTATGCTGTTCTTCCCAGGTAAAGTTTTTTTTTTTTTTAATTAAAGATATTTTGATGTTTCAAAAGCCCATAGAGAAGTTTGAAGTCATTGGTTTAATTTAGAATATGAAGTCAGCAAGAGAGATGTAAGATTAGGCATAACATTATTGTTATTAGCTGCCTTTGAGTCAGTCTTGACTCATAGTGACCCCATGCACAATGGAACAAAATGCTGCCTGGTCGCGTGCCATCCCCATGATCAGTTGTGGATTGGACTGTTGTGATCCACAGGGTTTTCAATGACTGATTTTCAGAAGTAGATTACCAAGCCTTCCTTCCTAGTCCATCTTGGTCTAGAAAACGCCACTAAAACCCATTTAACATTATAGCACCACACAAGCCTCCAGTGACAGGTGGTGGCTGCACCTGAGGTGCATTGGCTGAGAAGAGATCCTGGGTTTTCTGCATGGAAGGTGAGAATTCTCCAACTGAACCACCACTGCCCCCAGGCATAATATGTCATTGGGTGCGCGGTGGAGTCGGTTCTGACTCATAGTGATCCTATGTACAACAGAAGGAACTACTGCCTGGTTCTGCACCATTCTCACAATCGTTGCTATGCTTGAGCCCATCATTGCAGCCATTGTGTTAATCCATCTTGTTGAGGGTCTTCCTTTCTTTCGCTGACCCTCTACTTTACCAAGCCTGAGGGGCCAAGGTACATATCAAAACAGCTCTTTCTAGCTTTACCAATGAGTTTGGGTAAGTATCCATTTTCACTTCTGTGTGCCAGTGTACAATGCATTCTGTCTCATCATTCAACTCTGGGGTAGCCTCAGATAACAGGGAAGTTTGGGGGCTGGAGTTAGGTTTGTTTTCTAGTCCTATCTCTGCCTCTGATATGCTGTGTGATGTTGCCCATGTCACATTTTCTCTCCGGGTCTCTGATTCCTCATCTATGCCCCCTTGCTGAGGGACTCAGGCTCTGTTGCCCCTGGGGCACACGAACATATCATTGTCCAGTCTCCCGAAGGCAGGAGCCTGTCTTTTTACTCTTGGAGTCCATCGGGCACAGTGGAACAAACAGGGGCTTGAGATTCACACACACAGTTGGGTTTCAATCTCAGCTCTCACTTACCAGCTTTGAGAGCTTAGAGGGAGTTTTAAACCTTTTCAAGCATCAGCAGCATCCTCAGTCCCACAGGATTGTTTTAATAAGTAGTAGAAACAATGTATGGAAAGCATCTGGTATAGCAGTCCATGCATATAGGAAGCATGATCAAATGAAAAATATTAAAATATCAAGATATGCTTAAGCCTTTCACTTTGCTTCCTGCTCCCCATGTGGGGTGGTTACATTCTACTCCAGCTGGAATCTCTGGATGTCAGATTTATCTGGAGAGATAACATAATTAGGGGGATGTAAAACCAAAAAAAAAAACCCAAACCGGATGCCGTCAAATCAATTCCAACTCATAGTGACCCTATAGGACAGAGTAGAACTGCCTCATAGAGTTTCCAAGGAGTGCCTGGTGGATTCAAACTGCTGACCTTTTGGTTAGCAGTTGTAGCACTTAACCACTATACCACCAGGGTTTCCAGGATGATGTAGGAGAAGGGAATGAATGCATGGATCTGAGGGACAGAGGCATGCGGTAGACCAATATTTCCTTTACTAGCCATTCTGATCCCAAGGCCTGGAATGCGTTTAAGTTTCCAGCTCTATTCCCTACCACCAGCTCTTCCTCAATGCACTTCAGGACAACTGCCCAGAGAGACTGACATTGCCTCCAACTCACACTTTGTTTTAGTTATATAGTGCTGCTATAACAGAAATACTATAAATGGGTGGCCTTACAAACAAAAGTTTATTTTCTCACAGTTCAGGAGGCTAGAAGTCCAGATTCAGGCTGCTGGCTCTAGGAGAAGCCATTCTCTCTATGTTGGCTCTGGAGGAAGGTCTTTGTCTCTTTTAGCTTCTGCTCCTGGGTGATCTTCCTGGGTCTTGACATCTCTCTTCCTCCATCTCTGCTTCCATAATCTCTTCTTTTATCTTTTGTAAGAGATTGACTCAAAATACACCCGACACTAATGCTTATTCATCAACATAACAGACAACCCATTCCCAAATGGGATTATAACCACAGGCATAACTGAACCTAACCCGGTTGCCTTCCAGTCGATTCTGACTCACAGTCACCCTATAGGACAGAGTAGAACTGCCCCATAGGGTTTCTAAGGAGCACCTGGTGGATTTGAACCACAGGCACAGAGGGAGGTTAGAATTTACAATACATATTTGGGGGGGACACAATTCAATCTATAACACCCTTCATTGTCAGTATCCCTCTGAACACTGATGGGGTAAGATAACAGAATCAAAACAACAACAACTACTGCTGCTGCTATTACTATTACTGCCATTTATTAAGCCCTTACAATGTGCAG